TGTGCTAGCTTCTGCTTAGCTTCATGCCTTGAGCTTCTCTCTTGCATTTAAAAGCAATTGTTTACAGAGCCATAATTGGAACACCCCGTGGTTTTCTTTTCTTACAGAAAATACTATTAGACAAATAAAGATTTGTAGATTTGGAGAGAAAAAAATTCTCAGCATAAGTCAGGTGAAGACCATGACCGAGCCATAAAAATGCCATTAAATGATAGTAGTCTAGCTTGGATATTTTCTGTACTGAACACTCTATGTGGAAATTCATATGGGAGACAGAATCTCATCCCTTCCGAAGTCAGCAAAGATCTCGTCACTGATCTTAGTGTGGTAAAGATTTCATCCCAGACTCATTCACACACAGCTAATTCTGAAAATAAATATTGCCTACAGCCTCTTCCTTTACAGCATTAGTCATAAGAGTATTAGATTTTATTTCTCTAAGAGGAGATATGCTTTATAATACAGAAAAAGTAGAGGATTATTAAAAGGACCAGCTGCTTTTAAAATCAGAACCTCTTTAACAATATTCTTTCTGTTCACTGGTTGCTTAATCAAGGCTTTTTTCTGCAATTATACAACTATTTATCATGTTCTTTTTATACAAGGAACATCAGCTATGAATTAGATAAGGAAGCAGCAGGCTGCAGGAATGCCTGAGTTTCTATGCTTGTATGCAGTGAAATCATAATCCTGACACTTTGGGAGCTGACATTATGATGAGTCACTCTCCAGACTTAACACTGCATGCACATGTGTATCTCCCCATGGTGCTTTGTTTTTATTGAAACTGAAACAAATTTGATCATTATTTCATGCTCCATATCTTCCAGCCAGTAGCAGCTGTTTAGACAAACATATTTGTATACCTGTGATCATGAGTGTGGTGGCTGGAAGTACCACCTACCGTGCTTAGAAACAATTTCAGCCTCGGAGCTTTCAACTGTTTGCTGAAGCCCTGGCTCTGAAAAATGGGAGGAGTTATGTGTGTCTTCAGTGAGGATGTCAGGAACATACCCTGTGCAAGAACATGCTTGGCAGGCGAGACAGTGCTGTGTGAAGAGCAGTGTTCTTGCATGTGTTTGCACATACACACTTTAGAAACCCCAACTCTTCACTGGTGCCCCTTTGGCACACACACTGATCCTGGAACATACGTGCACCCGCTTGGGGTTTTTTTTAAATGCAAACTTTAATCTTCTTGCACAGACGATTATTTGACCTGGGACAGGAGAAACCTTCCCAGCTGGCTTCCTGCCTAGGTGTGTGAGTTAAAACTTCATTTGAAATCCAGTTTGCCAAGGTGAGACAGCTGAATAGTCAGGTGAGGATTTGATGATGTTTTAGGTACCACTGGCACAAGGTACTTCTACATCTTCATGTGCTGCCCTTTGGAATGTACTACACAGTTTTTGTGTGATGATGTGCTGGACCTCCTTTATATGGTTTAAAAAACAAAATTACTTTGTAATTCCTTTGAGTTATGCAGGATCAGTTTCCTCATTTCACTCATTGTACAGACCCAGAAACGATTGTGTTGGCACAACTGGGGGAGCAGCATGCTGCATTGCCTGGGCAGGAATGAGTGGTAAAGACCAGGAGAAAAAAGCCTGAAAACATGTTGTCTGTGGCAATATCTTCAGCTAAACATATCACCAAACAATAGTCTCCCAAGAGACAGAAGCTCTCCTGAAGCTGGCCTGGTTATTTTAGGATTCTCTTTCAACATGAAGAAGCAAGGAATGTGCCCCCAGACACATACAAATGTGTGAAGAGCTGGGAGGACTAAGGCACGCAGGGCTTTGCACTGGGTGCATTTAGCACAGGTGCCAATTGCTAAGGTTACCTGTGTAAAGCAATGATCTCAACCTGTCAGATTCTAAAAGTGTGCCAAAGCTGTTGGTATCCTCTGAGTTACATGCATATGGGACTCTTCCAGCAGACAGCTATGGTGTTGTCAGCTCTTGGAGGTTTTTTTTTTAATAAAGGGCATGCCTAGACACAAGTAAACCTGGGGCATTCCTCCTTCCAACATCACATCTGTTTCTTTCAAACTTTCACAATCCTGCTTTTTAAAATTCTAATTGAAATAACTATGGGCTTTATAGCTGCATCAGCAACCTTTTGTGAAAGAGTGCCAGTATGTAAAATTGTCAGAATTGAGGAAACCAGTTGCTTTTTCTTAATAACTGCCTTCTATCTGTGTTCTCCAGATTTCCCAGAATCTGTCTTTTGGAGTATTTTCATTTCTTTATTGCCCCATTCAAGTACTTTCTACACATGAATTGGCTGACCTTTTTACATTTTGATTTGGAGTTTTTTCCCAAGTTACCCATCCTGCAAACTGTTACATGCCTGTTTGCATACTGAATGACTAGTACTACTGTAAACCCTCTGCATTCAAAGCTGGATCTATGGCCAAATTTTAACAAAATCAGGGATAATGGAGCCGTTTGAAAACCCATGGAAATCCATGATTGTCTACAGGCAGCACTGGGCTTTGTTTTGAGGCCTGTGTAGACAGTCTGTGTAGGAGTCCTGAGGTTTGTGAATGCTGGCAAAAGGCAGCATTTCAGAATATTCTGGTCTTAAGCCTAACTCTGCTCATTACTCACTATCTTTGTGTTTTTAAGTAGGCTGCATCTTACCCCACTAGGGAACTTTTGTCTGCTTACTCTGAAAATGGGGGTGTTTTGTTATGTGCTTATTTTAGTTTCTTTGCTTTGGAAGAAAGCTTTATTTCCCTGTCTCTTGCCCTCCTTTGTCTTTTTAAACGTGCAATCTTCATGGGACAGTAACTATTTCTTTAATCTTTTGTCTGCATTTAATTAGTTTCCATAATTCCTCCAAACAATTTTCTAACTTGATAGTAAAGTTTTTTATTAGACTACCACCATATTTTTCCTCTGCTAACAAAGGGTTTGATTGCTTGCTTTTCAGATGCTGAGTGAGAATCTAAGAGGAGAAATGACTGTTGTACCCACAGGAGCCAAGATCTCTCTGAGAGATAGCAAGTTTATACAAGTGATTGCCAAATCTTTAAGTATCAGCAGCAAGGAGGTATATACACTTAAATATTTAGAATTAATATCATGTAAAGCTGCAAACTCAGTTAAATGAACCTAGATTAAAGATGAACAGCAAAGCTGAAAGAAAAATGGAATACTGTAGGTTTTATATTATTTTTTTTTAGTTCTAAGTGTCCCAGATAACCAGTTGGGCTGGGGAGAAAGGACACAATGACACCAAAATGTTTTTAATTAAAAACATATTAACTTCCTCTTTGTAGCCCCATCTTGGGTTTATTTTCTTGACTGGCTGGTTGCACTAACAAGCCTCAGACAGATGCTGTAATTCAGAGTATCAATGATATGAAGAAGTGCTTTGTATTTTTGTGGTCAAATGTATTGACAGTTTGGAGCAATCCAAATAATAATGGGTAAACCAGCTTAATTGTACATGCAATCATAGAAGGCTAAGGAAGCATTACAAAAGTGTAGAGACACCTGTGATGTTTACTATTAGTCCTTCTCAACTGGAAAATTAGAAAAGATAATATTGGTTGTTCAGATGCTCGATTTTCTCTTGACTTGGTTTCAAGGAAGATGGGATTTATTAACTAATGTATGGTTCTTCTTTAGAGAGCATGAGAAATGGGAGGATATTCAGGGGGCCTCGAGGGTTAACAGGATACACAGGTGTCTGAGGAATCACATGAATAAAGTTGATCAGTCTTGAGGAGGCTGGACTATATGGTCTTTTCCAACTCCCACCAGCGCTGTTTCTCTTACTGTATTGATGAGTAGCTACGGCAGTAGAGAGATGGTAATAGTGTGTGCACCCTAAATGGTATATATAGATATCAGGTAGCTGTAGTGTTGCCTGGGAGGAATATAAATCTTATGGATGTGAGACTGACAAAATGTAAAATAAACATGAGACCTCTTTCCTTCCAAGAACTAAATGCTACCATTTTTAAATATCCAAGTGACTAATTTGGAAACTTTACATGAAAGCAAGGGTGGTGTTTTTATCACTTGGATATCAATCCCATTAGAGGCAAAGCTGATATTAAATGTTTAATTTTATTTGTTTCTCAGGAGTTAGAAGCCGTAAGAGATGCATTAATTCCACCTTTGGCTTGTGCTGCAGCTAAACTGGGTGACATAGACGCACTAAGAGCCATAGCAGAAATGGTAATGTAAAATTAACAGTTTGTACAAAACATTAATTTTTAAATAGAGCTGTAACTGATGGGAGGAAGCTATGCTCACTGGAATTGGTCTTACAGTCAAGGTGCTTTGACTATTACAAGGTCTTTGCCTTTCAAGACTGGTATGTTCTTTCCCCTCTCTGTTTTTCAGCTGTTTATATTTTCTTTTGAACTGTGAAAATACAGGTAGATTAAAATGCAAGTTCTTATCTGCTAACTTTGGAACATTTTAAAATGGTTTGTGCTGCTTTCTTTTTGCTTAACTTTCTTTATACATATTCATATCCAGCTTCTGGATGTAAATCTGTCATGATTAAAAAAAAGAACTTGAAAACTATATTTAAGCAAAACACAGTGCAGTGTTAATTCAGGATTTCTGGCTCTCCCCATAACTCTAACTTCGCTTATACCTGAAAAAAGAAACAGGCATTTCCCTGTCTTCTCATTTTTTTCCCCTCTTTGCCTTGGTTTACCCTACTCTTGAGACTTTGGTAATGGGCCTCAAGAAAGGATAAATATATCTTGAAATTAAGAATAAACTAAGACAAGTAAGATTAGCAGTCTACAGGCACAAAGCTGCTGTATGGTATGCTGAAATAAAGAGCATATCTGAGGGAGAAAACATGCAGAAGGTGAAATAAATATCCTTATTGGCACTGAAACAATCCTACAAGATTGACAAGCAATTTGGTGGCAGAATTAAAATGTGAAGTATGCACCTACTGTGTGACGTATGCAACAACTTAATGTGCAGCCATTATCTTTTTAGCATATGAAGGATATGTCCTTTTGTAGGGTGGAAACTTGAGCTGTGGAGACTATGATGGCCGAACTCCACTTCATATTGCAGCCTCTGAAGGGCATTTACCACTAGTTGAGTATTTGTTGATGTCTGGTGCGACTGTTTATGCTAGAGACAGATATGGATCTACCCCACTGATGAATGCGATCAAGTTCAGGTAACAATTTATATACTACTCTATGTAAAGTTTATAGACCTTTTATAATTTTAGATTTCAAGTCCATCCCTGCGTTTTGGTCTTGTTTTGTCTCAGCAGTCAAGTGTAAATTACAGCAGTTAACACATACCAGCTTTGTTTCAAAGGATGTGACTAGCCTAAATGAAAAAAAATTAAAAAATAATATGAAATGAAAGCAAACAACTTGGTATGCATGCAGAATTTTAGCATAAAGTAACCTATTGCTGTCCTCCTGCCAAGACTTTGTCCATAATTTCAGGGCTCCACTCTTTATTCTGAGGCTTCCTTATAAAACACAGCCAAACTGATCACTCCTTTTGACTGTCAGAAGTGAGAGTGCAGGACCATGGGCTGTCTGTTTTCTTTCTGCCCTTCCCTTTCTCATCAAGACCAGACTGTTTCAATTGGCACAAAGTATACCGGTAGGTTGACATGTTTTAATCTTTCCCTTCCACCAGTGCTTTCCTGACTCTCCTGCTGGATGACTGGTTTTCTGATTTTTTTCCCTTCCGCCCACTCATAATTATATGGGATGGCTGCATGGCCCTGCCTGCTTTGTGGATTTCCTCTTCCTGCTGTTATGAATGTCAGCAGTTCTGGAATGGTAGCCATGGATTTGCAATTTACTGGCCTCTTCCACATTGTATAGTCCTAAGGAATGGCCATAGCACAGAGTCTAATAGTTATCAGTAATCAAAATTTAATTTTAAAACACTTAGTTTGTATAGCCTGGGGATTCATGGAGCCATTGGTCTCCTAACGTGTTAGAAGCTGCATAAAATAATCTCTCCCTGTTTCTTTGATCCACTTTCAGCTCCTTATCTCATATTCAGTTTGTATTGTAGCAGATGAGAAGCCATTTTTTTCTGTACAGGAGCTTGAAATGGTTGAATTTTCGTGGTCTTTGTGGATGACTGTCCCCAAATATTCCTACAGCTTTCTAATGTTGACAGGTTCACCTGGTTTGTCAAGCTGGAGTTAGCTCCCTGGGAGGTCTGACAGTGTGGGATTACCATTGGCTGCAGGAATAACTCGAAGGCTTCTTCTGTTTCGAAGACCAGATGTAGAAAACTCAACAAACTCTATTAATGTGGGAGTTGAAGTCCTGAATGGCCACGCTGTGCTATTGCCATACCTACTGCATGGTCCCTTATGGCTTTGTAGCTGTTGCTTTACCTCATGAATATATAAGCCCTTCACTGGAAAACCCTTAAAGTCTTAAAGCGAAAACAAGCCCAACAGCAAATCAAACAAATAACCTCGCAGCTGAACAGAGGTGGCTCTGGTCCAATGTGAGAAAATGCTAAAGCATTAGATACTATTAGATGTTCCTGCAAATCAGGCACCTACTTTTTTTACCACACCCATCTACCGCCTGAGGAATTTCACATGAGCTTGTTGTTTGGATTCCTTAGCATTGCCACTCCTATATTAGACTCCTACTATGACTCTTAAGCTCTTTAAAACTGCACACCCGTTTTGATACAGGGAATTGTAAAAGGAAACTGCACCATAACCATTTTCAGTTTCTCTTTTTGTTTCTATTGTTGGAATGAGAGGAAGAGTTGACTTAGAACTAATCTCATAAATGCGTATTTATGATCTGCTGTGTACTCACACTGCATTTCACACTGGTAAGCATATAAAGGAGCATGCTAAAGAGCAAACAGCTGTATATGTGTGTAATTAGATACCCACTAAAAAGATTTCTGCTACAGAAATATTTAAATTCCATTTATTAAACAGTTGTAAGTTGAAAGTGAAGAGATTATCCCGATGCAGCATACAAAGTGGCAGGGAGGGAAGGGGGAAAACTGATGTTAATGAGTAGTCAATGCTTTAAACTGTTTAATATTGTAACTTTCTCAATTTTACTGAATATTGCATCAGCTTAATCCCATTTTCTGAGAATTAATATTTGTTTAATTGGCATTTAACTGCAATACAGTATCCACTCATCTTAAAAATAGCTTTCTTCGAGTCTTTTATGTTACATTTGTCAGTGGCTTGCCTTTTAACCAGCATGCAAACCTATATAAAGATGACTGATTTCTCTTTTCCACTTAATGATTTGTAATGATGAGGAGTTATGTGTCTTCTTAAAAGCTTCTTAACATAGCACTGTCAGCTGATAGACCAACAACTTGATCTACTTCTATGACAGTCTCTTAAATTTTTTGACTTTAAGTGACTCTTTCTTTGTTTCTTTCTAAATAAGAAATAAACTACTGCATTCCCGCTTTTTCATTTGTAACTCTGCAATTTGCTTGTAGTCTTATTCACTTTAGGCATGAAGCTAAACAGACCACTGTTAATTTAGGCCAGTTGCTTGACATATCAAAATAAGTGGAATTCCTTTAATTTCTTACAGCACCCTCAAGGGATAATTCATTTTCAAAACAATAGAATAATATTTTTTTAATAACAGAAACTCTCTAAGCAGGAAAATGTCTTGAATAAAAATTGTGTATATTTTGAGTAGTAAAAGCACTTCCATTTACTTGTAGAGCAGTGGTAAAAGGTTGAAAATGGGGAGTTGCTCATATAGTGCTGTGAGAACATCAGATGAGAGGCAGTAAAATTACCTCCCACGTAAATATGAATTTAAATACTTGATATTTTGCAAGGTTACATTTACATTACTTCAGGAAATCTAAGTGAAGAGTGAAAACCTAACCACCGCTGACTCCAGAAGTACACTGAAGCCTCTCCTTACAGTGTTTGAGCATAAAATTCCCACTGATACCATGTAGAAAAGTGAAATTAAGCTGATCCTGCCATAACCATTCCGCTTGCTAGGGGAGCAAGCATGAAAAAGAATGAAGCCAGTCAAGTTTGGATACACATTACACCTGCATTTCTTTAAAGAGAGTTGGTGGAAGGTGTGCACCCTAAGGCCCCAATCCTACAAACTCGTACATGTGTGTTAATTTCACATGGATGATTCATCCCTTTTGAAGTCGATTCACTTCAGTTCGTGTCTGCCAGGTGAAGGCCTGAGATGATACGTACGGTGCAGAACCTTGATTGCTGTGAGTCCGGAGCCCTCATGAACTGGGAAGAGTTCAGAGGTCTTTATCTGGAACTCAGACTTTGCTCATAGCGCTGAGTGTTGAAGACTGCACCAAATCATATGTTTTGCTATTAATACATTAAAATACTAGTATCCATTTGAGTTTTTATGCCCAGTGTTATCAATAATGGAACCTAGCAGAGAGGAGACACTAGAAATGCCTTCTCTCTATTTGTTTTTTTCCTTCAGAGAGGGATGAATAACAGTGATAGTATTATCAAAAGGCTAACTTAAGTAACATATGCAGAATAGCATTGTTTCTATAGCTGTGTCTGACCATGCTTTGGTAATAGGGCAGCCTAAGAAAAGGGAGACTCAGGGACAGCTCACAGATGACAATGCTTATCAGGTGGGGCTAAAGTGGGACATGCAGCCGTGTACCAGGTCGTGATGTTGGCCTTCTCTCTACACCTTGACCTTTCATTGTCCAGCAGTTCCTCTGCTCTTGGTTTTGTGCTGTCACCTTAGAACAGGAATTGCATTTGAACCGTTCCCAAGAAGTTCATGGCTCATGACACGACCTGAACTTCAGATCAGCTAAACTGTGACCCTTGTGAGGCTTTTGTAATGCCACAGGAGAGCAGCACTTAAAGAAACAATTTCTAAAGACAAATACCTCTCATGTGCCCAAGACATAACAGTATCAGAAAATTCACAGCCAGCCTCTTGAAATATGAATAATGCCCTTGTGGTAGGTACAAGACAGCAGAAGTGGTGCTCTGGTTAGGGCTTAAGTTCCTTCAGAATGTAGATAGCGTTTGGGTGCAAGTAGGAACAAGCTGTAGTGCAGCTCACCTCCTGCATAGTTTTCATGTTGAGCGATGGGAATGTGAGAGGTGGTCTGTTTGCTTTCTTGGACAGATCTGCACTTCATAGTCACAGTACTAAATTTAACACTTTTAAGTTGTGCTTTACTATTTGTCCCTATTCTTCCTCTCCCTTACCCTTTCTCTAACAAGCAGTAGCTCACAACACTTCCTCTTCTTCCCACTGTAGCAAGAAACGTGATTTTGAATAACTCCCAGTCATTGGGACATTGTATTTCTATTTAGAAATGCTTTATTGTAAGCATTTATTGTTAGTTAACACTGTTAGTTTCAATGCTTAAAGATTTATTTTATTTCAAGCCACTTTTTTTTTTTCTCATTTAAGTTTGCTGAATTAAATAAGCAGGATAAATGCTTCCAAATCTGCCTGTACCAAAGATTTATAGAGTTCCCCTCAGAGTAGTAATGGCTGTGTGGCGTAAGTGGGACTTGAAGTGCTTTCTGGAGGGAATTTTGCTACCAATGAGGAGTAAACAGTTACAACAGGAAGAGAAAACCTGGCTTTTTGCTGGAATCCAGAGATACAGAACCACACAGGGGAAGCACACTGAGGGAGGATACCACACAACATTACATGCTTTGCTGCCTTTTATCTTTTAGTGCTGTCCCATAGCACAGCTTTGATTTTAAAAAGTGCTTGTTTCATGCTTCGATTTCTCGTATAAGGTGGGAAATGAGGAATACTTCAGGGCAGTTGTTGGAGAGTAAACAGACACTCCCCATGTTCAGTTCAGTACCCAATGAGAGCTTGAGGGAACTGTTCTACTTTTAATCTATTTTAGGTCAAATTTCATTTCAGCTGATTACTGTTTTGCTTAAGACTGAGAATTAAAAAACTCGTACTTGTAGAATTCATTCTACACCACAGATTGAAAAATAGGAAACCACGCCATTATTTGCTGGCTCAAGGAGATGCTTGTGGATGACTAGCCACGTCGTAAGGGACCCACCTGAGAAAATATTTTAGATAACTGAACAAACTTGAAGCATGTGCTGTTCCAGCAACGCTTTGCTATGAGACAAAGGAAGATATTTTTTTTTTTTGGCTGTCAATTGAAACAAAGCACAATTTTTAAAAAAAATTGGTCTGCTAGGTTCAATAACCTGTGTTTGGAACACCAAAATGATTCTTAGAGCATTTGTACAGTTCTTTGGCTACTTTGCAAATTAAAGATTTTATGTGAAACATACAAACTTACATAGGCTTTATATGGATAACTGTAATGTAGCTTCTGACTGAAGATTCAGTTTCCTAAAAGGAGGCAAAGGGATTAGATAAGCAGTTTAATCCAGTTGAAATTAATGGAATAAAAAGGCCCATGGCTATCACCAAGAAAATGCAAGTAATTAAGCAGAAAGTGTATCTGAGCTTATTTTTTATTTTTAATTACTACAGATGAGCTTTTAGCTAATGGGTTGGAAAAGCTCATATATTTCCTATTAAATGATAAGCCTACCTCTTTGTTTTGAAGTATTATAGTATAGCAACTTACTTAAAATAGGAACTGTGAAACTATTCCTGATCTACTGGGTCATCATGCTCTTTCTGGAGAAAAAAACCTGTGCTTTGATTTATAAACTAGATCAGTTGTTTAGCAGAGGAGCACTCTGTCACCTCCTTTTCAAACCTAGCTCTAAACCTTTCACTAGGTTACTTATGAAAAACGTATTTTTACACATTTTTGCATCTGTTATGTTATTTTCTACCCACAACAGTAGTTTTGGAGAGCAGCCTTTCCCATAGAGTTTCTCAAACATCTTACTAAGGTGTAGGTGTTGGCTATTTGTCCCTTTATTTCAAAGGAAAGGACAATGAAGACCTCCTAAAATCTCCAGGTAGAAATAAATAATAAAGGCATTGGGAAGAGGGGGTTAGGAACAGGTGTGCTTTTGATGGCAGTTCATAAGAATACTTACCATCATTTTGAAGCCCTAAAAACCTGATTAGCTTCCCCATTAACCTAAAGATTCACTGCTTATCTGCAAGAAACACCTTATATTTAAGACTGATATATATGGCCATTGCATTCTTTAAAATACAGGAACAATGCTATGTAATAAGTAATCTCACTGTTTGCATGTATTTCAATCACTAATATTTCTGCTGTTAATTTAAGCTAGCACTAAGGTGAAGATACTAAGAATTCTTGGAAGAGGAGAGTATGCATCCATTTCCTTTTCAGAGCTGAACTTAACACTTCCTTGAGCTTAGTATATGAATGAATTTTTTAAAGGGAGGGCAGCTCTGTTTACATCTCTGTGACATCTGTCACCTTGGAGAAGATTCATTGATTCTGTGATTGTGGGAAATCTGATATAAGAACTTTCACTGGACTCTTTGTGTATATGACAATGCTGGATTTAGGGGAAAAAACCTACAGGTCAAGACACTCTCTCTGTTTTTTCTATTCCTCTCATAAAGGCACATACAAGTGATTAATTTGTTACGGGAAACGGGAGCGCACCTTTCAAGCCAGGACTTGGAGAATACTGGAACAATACTCTGCAGGTAAATGTGATACAAGGTGAGGTGGCCCTAAAATTGGGATGGAGGGGGATGGTTTTTCAGAAAAGACTCCAGAATGAAGAACTTTGGAAAAGCACTTGGGTCCCTGGCACATGAGTGGCTATTTCGATGCTAGACAAATAATAAGGAAACAAGTGAAGTGATGAAATTAAGAATCAACTCTATGTCAAAGCACCAGTAACTCAAGAGACCTCCAAAGTAGACGGTATTGTGGAGATCAGTGACCTGGAAGCACATACACCCCATTTTTTTCCAAGGTGTTTTACTGAGGAAGGGTGAGAAAGAAGCTGTTCGAGATGTGACTTAATAACATCTCTATTTAAAAATAGAGCTGCACATTGTGTGTCATTTTTATTGTCTTAAAATCCACTTTTCAGTTATATGGAAGTGTCTTCTATTCTAACTAGTATATAGTAATGTTCTTAAAAATAACTAAATCAAATGGACAGATAGATTTAATCCCAAAACTTGTGAACAACTGCTCAGTGTCACTATATTTGAGTTTAGGAGGATATAATTCTCTGTTAAAGTTGCTTTTAATACATAACAATGTGGATATGTATTATGAAACCAAATAGATATTAGATTTAATTTTTTCCAGTACTTGTCCTGAATTACAAATTACTCTGAAAATCACGAGAAACTTTCATGTATTTCCTAAAATACAGTTTTTACTTCATTTCTTCTTTCTATTTTTGAAAAACAAACAAAAAACCACCTAAGTACTGGCCTTTGAATCAGGACTTGGCAGGAAACCATGAAATTTGCAGGGACCAGCCAGGGCTGTATAATGTCTACAAAACAAGGTCAAAGTGAAGCTTATGTGCATTCTGTGTAGAGACTGGACTCTATCCTTTGAGTAATTCTAGAATTAAGAAACACTAGCTGGAGTGTTTCCATTGTCATAACATGCTCAGAGGAGACTGGGTAATAGGGCTTTTACCAGGAAGTTAAAATATGCACTTCCCAGGGCACTGCAAGTGATAGGACAGAACTAAACCCTTGGTTTGTGTAGTTTCCATCTGCCAAAAGGCGAGAGGAGTGGTTTAGGGAATGACATTCCTCTGCAAATAAATTGGCCCCTTACTTAGCCCTGGTGCCACATGCAGAACCAGTTTGGCTAGCTGACCTGTCAGTAATATATCCCAAAAGAAAAAAAAAAAAGGAAAGAGAAAGAGGATGTTTTAAACAAAATGTGGTTCTGATGCAGTTTGTTACAGCTTTTTAGGGAACATTGTACCACCTGCATCTGTATTGCACAGTCTCCTGTTGTTCAAAGCTGACATTTTGATAATCAACAGTTCAGATATTTTTGAACTTGCATTGGTGTTTGTAATTTTAGTATAAAACAATGTAAATCTTCCAAACAGGGGGTGGGAGTGCAGATGTGCAGAGGCTGACTGAGGACTCAGCACAGAGTGCCATACTCGGGATGAAAGGGGAAGAGGCTCCCACATTGGTGTGGGTCAGGAACTGGGGCTGTGGCTCTCTCCCACTCTCTGGAGTGGTGGCCGTGGCCAGAGGTGTGTCCATGGACAGGCATCACCACGTGGCCTGTACCAGGAGCACAGCCAGGCAGTGGTCAGGCTTAGAGACAGTCTGTGAACAGTGTCTCTTCCCTGCACTGCTTCTGCAGAGCTTAAGTGCTTCCTTTGCTCTTGCTGTTTTAGAGGGCCTGGCACAGTCACTTCCACCAAAGTGGACTTTTTCCACAGAGCGTTATTTAGATGCCTAAAAGTTATTAAATCTGAGGTACTGGTGTTTGTCCTCTTGACAAAATGTCTCTGGTACTTCTTCTGCAATATCCTCAGATGACCTTACTGATACACTCATTTCTCCAGCATGCTTGGGCTCACTTCTCTCTCCTGCTTCTTACCTCCTCCTTTTACGCCCTTTCTTTGCAGGCACTGGCACCTTCATGGCAGTCAACATGTTCACCTGGTCAAGCTAGTTAAAGAACAAGCTATTTATAACATCTCCCCTTTGTCTGATTTGAACTATTTTTCTACATCTCATCTGTCTTGTAATGTGCCTTAAGCTGCATTTTTACCAACCTGAATTTGTCACCAAGGCAGGATTTCAACTTCTTGGGGCTTAGGAGGAAAAAGCTGCTTGTTCTCTGATAAGCTCTTGGTTCCTACACTTAGCTAACTTAACTTTTTCTCCTTACAGTTCTGTCTGAAGCAGAAACTATAAACATGTTTTTCCCCTTTGCTACTTAGCAATCCTCGAACAAACTGACTTTCAAAAAAGACCATGAACAGTGATTTTTGTGTTCTAATACCGTCTCCTCAGCTCTCTTCTGTTTAGACTCATGATTTTATAATAGAATAGAATAGTTCAGTTGGAAGATTATGGAGATAAAAATAAATGTGTTCCTTTGGCATTGGTGATGTTTGAGAGGGAAAGGAGTACCAGCCAGAACTGAGAGTTGGACAGTATCAGTGGGAACTCTTGTGTAGGAAGTGGAGATGTACATAGATGCAGCCAATATGATCTAGTTATTAAATCTTCCATGGTTTCATTTGCTGGTGTCTTTTTTTAAGTGAGGGGTGGTAGTCTGGCTTTGGAATCACTTTGTTGATGTTTGGTATCTGGTTCATGGCTTTGTTTTGAAATGAGATCTCAATGTTAGTAATCTGTTAAAAATGTCAGAATATCTTCTCATATTGCAGTAGTATTGTCATCTGTCTGCAAACCCAAACCATGATGACATAAATTGGAACACTCAGGCTTATTCTGAAAGCTTGTGGAGTTCTGGAGTTGGTAAACAGTTGATTTGTGTTTGGTTTTTTAAAGGAAAAAAATTTGTATAGAATTGAGATACTCTGTTTAAATCTGTAGTTTACAAAATACAAGGGCATAAAGCCAAACCAGCTTTTTCTTTCATATTCTCAGATTTCATAAAATGATATTATATACAAGGATGCAGCCTTTCAAAATCAGCACCTTTCAGAATAAGATACTTCTTCAATTTGACACAGACTTGAGGGGTAAGGCTGGAGAAGGAAGGATAAATATGTCTCAGCAGGAATTAGGACCAAGCTTCCTGCCTGCTGTCTTTCAAAGAAGTCTGTCTGTCTCAGCTGGGATAGATGTGGAGACACTAGCTAAGAGCAGCACTCACAAATTAGTTCAGGATGCAAGACACTCTTTGCACTGGACTTTTAACTTTTTTTTTAGGATTTTCGTCTTTAAAAAAAAAAAAAAGTAGTAGATAAAAGATTCTCTCTTCTGCCAGGGTGATGATACACCTGAAAAAAAGGAAGTCTTTCCTGATCACTTTATATGGACACTGAAAAAGGAGAATTGCTGGCATTGCTGAAAAAGCACAGCTTTGTGTCCCTGGGAAAGATGAAATCCTAGTACCTGAGGAGGCAGGAGGGAACCCCAAGGTGTCATTTCACAGTATTTATTACTTCCCAAATCTAGAACTGCATTGGCCCTTGTCCTTATAAACCCTCTGAGACCTGACCAGCTTCACTCCTGGTACCTTGGCAGTAACAGAGCACGCGTTAAACTGCAGCTTGATGCTGGTGGGGTGAGAGACACAGAATCAGAGAGCATAATTGCACTGTCACTGTTCTTGATATCTTAGCTCTGTCATCATCATGGCTACATTAGCCCTGCTGAAATTGTGATATGGATACATAATAATTTCTTTTCTGACTGCAGGAGTATTGATAAGGCAGCATGCCTAGGATTATCTGCTGTAAAAAGTATCAGTCAGTTTAGTAAAATGTGTTAGGTAGTTCTTTATCACTAAGCAGGTTTTAAACATCCTGGTAAGTGTATATTGAAGCTATCTTTAGTCCATTTCATGATATAAAAGTGATGGACTTGCTGCTTAGAGGTTGCATTTGTAGTTGGAATGGTGCCTATAGTGTAAATTGAGAAGTCCTCTGTATATATTTGAGTATATGAAGTACATTTACAGTGTGTAAAGGAAGTACAGATGTGTATGCCTCAACTATGGAAATCTGGAACTGGAGAAAATGTTTTGTGGTGATTATCAATTTGGTAAATAGTAGGTATCTTCTATTTAGAGCGGTATCTAAATTTTCTCTCAAGCTACATCACCTTATGTTCTCTGGGTCACGTAGAATACAGTTCTCACTTGATCAGTAAATGGCTGCTGCAAAATTGAAGATACTTCTGTGTATTTGGAGTGCTCTAATGTCATGGAAGGAGACCACTTCACAGGTTTGACCTATGGCAGTGGGGGTTAAATTGCTCTTTCTGAACAGGTGCTATTAGGCAGTTAATTTTCAAGTGAGTGCAGCAGTCCTTGTTTGTTGCTTACACTGGTGATAGCTGAATTGCCCTCGATATGTAGATTGGTAATACTTCTGAAAGTGCTGGTCTTTGCCCAAAGTGGTTTCCACTTTGTATGTGACTGAATGATGAGATTCTGTTTGGCAAATACAGGGCTTTTCTGTCCAGTGTTGGTGATGCTTGTAACTCTCTAGTTAGGCTCTTTGTTTGTTTTTTGTTAGTTCCTTAATCTGTGACTTTACAGTGTTAACAGCAAGAGACTAGTTTTTGTAACTAAGATAATTCAGGTGCTCCAGAAGTGGCTGCTAAGCAATTTCTTTGCTTTACTAATGGTTACACTTTTTCTTTATTAATACTCATTTCTTTCCTGCAGTTTCCTTACTGACCTCCCACTGAGCTTCCTGTTAGACCTCCTTTGCCTTCCTCTGTTTCCTTATTGCTTCTGAGGCCCCATTTTTGTGATGGCAGTTTGCATTAATTATTTAATGATCCTTTCCTTCATGATGGCAGACTGAAGCACTGTTAACCTCTTAATACCCAACTACCACTTCCCTGTCCCCCAAAGGCTCCAGTTGTAGGTCATCTGGGGGGTTACACAGAGGAACACAGAGACTATTTGCTTTCTCTTTTCATGCCCAGCCTCTGGGACTGCTGCAAGCAAAAGCCTCTCTCTGACTTTCTCCTCAGACTGCTGCAATTAGAGGCTTCCACTCCCCTGAAAACATATTTCCAGGTACTTAAGAGATTTAATCAACAAGAGAAGTGATTTCAACCTAGCAGAGAAGTGAATGTTGCAGCCCTGCTTTCATGGTTTCTTCCATGAGTTTACCTGACTGTCTGCCCCTTGCATCTTTGAGCCGTCTCCACTCTTCACCAGCTCTGCCTGGCTTGGTTATTATACTCAAGAGCCCATCATCACCACCTCCATCCCTGATGCCAGCACAGTGCCTTTCAGCCCCAGCGAGCACTGTTTAAGGCAGCAAACTCTGAACTTAATAAGGGTGGGGAGGGCTCCCCCTCTCTTAATGAGATTCAACCTCACTTGATGATTATCAGCATGGTTCTGCTGAAACAATCTGCAAGCTCACAGCAGAGGTGAGGTCTGAAGCCTCACAGATGCTGCTATCCTGAGGAGACTGAAGGTTGCCCTCCCAGCCTTCCCATCAGTACAGGCTGTCTGCAGGCTTGGTACAGACTGTCATGCTTTTGCATATGTACAGGCCTTTTACCAAAATGAAAGTTAAAAATGAACCTTAAGTATTATGGATTAGTCTACCAGGAGATGTGCGAAGAAATAACCTGGTGTATATTCCTCTGAAAACTTTAACTTGCTTATTTTTTGATCCTTTCTATTGCTTGTTACATGTGGAAGACAGAGGTCATCCTTAAAATGCCTTTTTTTTGCTTGCTGCCCATTTAAACCTTACAAATTATCTTGTAAAACTCAAAACATATAGCTGTGTTACTGTCCAGATGATATCACATAAATGTGCTCACATAACTTCTGATAGCAAACGTAGTTATGCAAACTTGTGAAGGGGGTTTTTTAGTGGTTTTAAGTAAGTCCTGTGTATTAGTGGCCCATCTGCTTGTGCTCTCATTTACTCAGCTGTATCTTGATTTAGCTGTTGCCCTCCCCCCAACTCATTTCACGAGATAAATATTGTGTTGTGAAATATGAAACTGGATGACTTTTTTTTCCCCTTTGGTCATAGTCACACCCACTATGTGAAACTAGCCTGTTGTAAGTACTTATAGCACAGCCCTATTAATTTAAGGAACTGATTCATCAAGCTGTGTTGCTTGCTCAGCTGTTCAAAACTGTTGTAATAGTGTTCCTTACCTCTCTACCCTGGCAGCCATGTTGAGTCTGTTCTGGTTCAGCATTTGCCTGCTGAGCTAATTGACAGGATCCAGGAGCTCACTGAAATGGAAAGATTTAGAACCAATATTAATTATTCTTTTTCCAGCCTTGCAGCTACAGGCGATGTGGATGGGTTGTATGCCTGGTACCTAGCTGGTGCAGACCTGGAGCAAACTGGTTATGATGGCAGGAATCCCTTACAAGTAGTAAGTTGTGCTGTACTCCGTATGGTGTGCTAGCTGAGTGAGTAATAACGTGCACTGTCGGATAATATTCATTTAGGAAAAGTAAATGTTGCTTTGTGGATTATAAACTGGATTAGAATTTGTTACAAACTCAAATCTGGTGCTCTTGTGAAGCAATAAATAGTTGGAGCCAGAATTTTTCTCATCAATGTCAGAGGAATTAAAATTTAAATTGGATTTTAATTATTTTGTGGTAACATACTCTTACTTCCCACAAGTAAGTATTTGCATGTCCTGGTGCACAGGATGGCAAGACTTAATTCACATCTCTACTTACAGGCAGAGGCTACAGGACAGAAGGAGGTTCTTGACTTCCTTAGACAAAAGCACTGAAGAAGGTAAGATCTAGTTCTCAAGTACTGGAGTTCTGGAATGTTCAGCTCAACATACACACATATGAAGAGGGATTTTGTCTAGTTCACCCTGGGACATGTTGGTTCAGCTGCAGTCCTTGTCTTGGTTTCTGATAGGACTCCGGGTACTTTAATCCTTCCTTGTAGAGTGGGGCTAATGTTTATTCCTCTTCCTGCCTGAACCTGGAATGGTGTTTTTGTGCATTCCACAGTGTGGTTCTGAACTTGGTTGGGAATGTAAAAACTACCAAATAAAACCACTGAGGGCAACAATGTGTTGTCCCTTTGGCCTGTTGCAATAAATTGCCCCTCTGTCTTGCTTGCACTACAGAGGAAATGCCTTTTACCAGACACGATGCCAGGCCTGGATCTCTGCTGTGCCCCCAGTGCAGGAGCGTTCCCTTCCCCAGTACAGCTGCAAGGAGATCACAGCTCTGAGTGCAGGATAGGGCAGTGCCATGGTCTCCCTCTTGCTCAGATCTTGGATGCAGCTGCCTGGTTGTCCCTGACATGGACTCGCTGCATGGATTCTCTTTTGTGCTGCTCTCATCCAAGGTGTGTTTCCCTGGACGTGTCCATGTGAGGCAGGTGTGTGCCTTGTGTTCAGAGCATCAGATCTGACAAATATCTCTAAGGGACCTTGTTTGGGTATTTGACCTTCTCCAGTGCTGTGCCATAACTGGAAGCATTTAAAACACTCGCCTTCCATTTCTCAGAGCTCCTTTCTGATGCAATACATTTTTGATTTAGATATCTCTTCTCCAGTATATTGGCAAGTCTAGTCCAAATTTAAATATTGGGATGTGTTAACACAAAATGTAGTTAAAGGTTTTGCTGTGTGAGTGGCTATCTGGCCAATCTTGTGTCCAACTTGAGAGATGTTAGTGGGGACTGCACTTGGAACAACTGCATTTTTGATTCACTGTGTACCGGGCTACATGAACATGGGACACAGTTTTTTTGCTTTGCTTTGAAGTTCTGGTGTTTTCTTTGGTTTCAGCTGATATAGAGGAATTAGATATAATCACAGTCTCAAGTCTTCCAGTGTTCAGGATGACGATGCCAAAAATACCTTCAGAATATGAGTTATATTGCGAAGGGACTTCCATTTTCAGTGGAATAGGTCTGCAAAAATTACTTTTCTTTTGTAAGTAGGGAGTGAATGTGTTAAATCCTCAACTCTTTCATGGATCACCTCATAATTCCTTTGGACTGAGCCACTAGTAGTGTAGGCGGACTGAAGGAAGTCTTCAGTACCGCATGAGAACTGGCTTGGCAGGCTACAAGGTAATCTGTTCTCAGGAAGGTTCTGGATACTGCCTAATTCTAAACATCCATTTTCTCTTTCTCCAGAGGCTGCAGAAGATGTTCAGTCATCATCAGAAATACCGACTTGAACCATTCATGGTGTTAAGTCCTAATGGGAGAAAAAGAGGAAAGGAACAATGGTAGCTGTGCTTGGGGCATACAGGCAAGCTAGAGCTTAGAATGGTTCTTTATTTAGAATCACATTGTTTTGCTAAAAATTATTTGCTGCTTTATCTTTTAATCACTTTTTTTGAAAAGAAATTCTTTTAAACAAGTGACGCTGGAATATATTGTCATTCCTGTACAAATTCTGTTTTTAAAGAGGCCTTTTGAATATTCTTATGTTAGCTCACTAACAGTATTGCAGGCATAGCAAATGGAAATGCTGTGGTGATTTCATACCAAGGAAAAACAGTGGATTGTGCATTTCTGGGTTACAACTAATAAAATCTCTGAGGAACAATGTTGATTTCACTTGGTCTGGTTTTTTGCAACGACTTGTATCACTTCAGTTGCAATTACAGCAATTGTGAGTGTCAGTGCAAACAATTGAATCAGTCATGGGCATCTGCCTGCAGTTGTGTACTAATCTTCACCAATGTGTCACTATAAAACCTCACTTGAAATGAGTAGGAGGCAGATGCCATAAAGCATGTTTGTGGGACTGCCTAAGTGAATTGATTGTTTTATTTCTAATAGCATCTTTCCCACATCCTGACCGGAATATAATCAAGATTGCTACATGCTGGACACAAAATTCTTTGGACTGTAAATGGGATCTCAGTATTAACAGACCCCAAGTTTAAAGTCTGAACACTTTCAAACTAAAGAAAGAAAGCAATACATATCTTTACAGCTGTGTCTGCTGTAGAATATGTAAACAAAGAGAATAATTCAGTCAAATGCATATACTGGAGATGGCAACTTTTAATTTCACCTACAGCTTCTGCAGTAGTCTATGGGGATTTTCTATCTGCTTCATCTGAAGGGAATCTTTGAAGTGCAGATAGTTTTTTCTTTTTCCTCTTTATACTATTCAATCTTCCCACAGATATTCTTATCATAGAGAAAAGCTGCATGGACTACTTGCTCAGCCTGTTAGTATTAAAAGATTCCCAAGGTATGTTGCGTGTTAGATCCCACTAAAACAAGGTAACTGTGCATGTAGTCTAAGAAAATGCTGTATACACTCCAGTTAAAAACAAAACCAAACCATAAAAATGCTTGATTAATATGAAGAGTAGTGCACCTCTTCACTACAGTCACAAAAATTACAACTATGCTGTCTCATTATTAAATAGCTGATATTACATTGCAATAAACATGCTTTAGATTGAATAAAATGAATGCAGAATAAAGTAAATGAGATCTAACATCCAAAATCAGGCATCAAATTTATTATCTTTCTGGTGTCTTGTCTGTAAGTACATAAAGGTGATGTATGTAGCAAAGTAATGTGTGTGAAAATTTTTACCATCAGGAGTAAAATCATGCGCAGACTCTTCTTCCTATGGTATTCAGACCTATTATCTTAGCTCTTGTCTTGTCAGCAGTCTAAATGTTGATGCACTCAACTATCAAGTCAATCCCTTGATAGACTTCTCTGCAAGTGACTTTCTTGGCATTGGAATATTTTCTGTTTTTCAATGACTCTCAGATGCAATCATTTGTCTATAACAGCATCCATTCTTTATTTCTGTACCAAAATGGCTGACTGCAACATGTACAGAAGTGCCAATATTCTCCTCATACTTTTCAATAAAAGGTCATCTGATCTATAGAAAACTTTCTAAACAATAACTTCTTATATTTCTAAAATACAATATCCATCTAAAGTACAAAACATACTTTTTCTTTTGAACAAAAAATGACATTCTGGTGCGTATTACTGAAACGACAGGTCTCAACAGTAAAACTGCAGGAGAGGTAAGAAAATGGTGAATTTTTTTGGTCCTGCATATAAGCCAGGTAAAGACACAAAAGACATTTCCAGATGTGATCCAGTAAGACTTTTATTTAAAAGCTCATAAAGCTAAAAGGAAATTGTTTGGGTCATGTTTACTGTAAGGATAAAGCAGTATTAGCTTCTTTCTGACACAGCTTTACAGAAACATATATCCTATTAATATGTCATCTTGCCTAAGATAACGTTCCTGCAATCTTCTGGAAAATTTGTGATTTGCCTTATAAATAGACCAATATGTTTTAATGGCAGACATATGAAGGTAAATTTAATGTTTATCTGAGGGAGAACTGGATCTCTTTTATATGTGTCAAAATTTCATTCAAGAACTGTGAACAGTCTGCAAGTGTTAAGAGAAACTGTGTCTAGAGTGCTGTGATTTAAAAAGTGGCAAGAATCACCCACCCAAGACCAGAAATTTCAGCTCTTGATTCGGTGTTGGGGACAAACTTCAGTAACACTTTGGAGATCCTGTTTTTGTCTTGTTCATCTACAACACCCTTTGCTTCATGCAGTGGATTTAATAATCATAATTATACTTCCTGTGATAACTCCCAGTCTTATGATGAATCTATTTGTGTGTAGTAACCCTTAAGCTTTGCATAGTTATTGCTCAAAAGTAAAATCTTAATATTAGTAGGGGATGAAAATTGTTCCTATTTGTTTCTACCTATTTCAGTTGCTGCAAGCAGCAGAGTGTCTTTCATTAGTTAAAGTATGCTAGACATTCCAGAGGCAGCTTAATTTTTTTAAACATCCTAATTTTTCTCCTTCAGATCATTCTTAAAAAGATCTAATACACCTCTTTTTATCCAGCAATCTTCTGCTCAGTAAAGGGTTGCAGATGAAGGAGCTGTACAGGGCCAATACTAATGCAAACACCCTCATTCCATTGCCAGGACTAACTGTGGGTCGGTTTCACAACTTCTCAAACAGCTTTAACTCCAGTCACCCATGAGGTCCATGCACCCTTCCATGTCTACATCCAAGTACAGTTTGGGAGATCTAGCACATGCTGTGAGGATCATCTGCAGATCTGTGCTTGGTATTTCAGACACAGTACCCATTGGAATGGCACGGTGGAAGCTGGATAAAGTTACTTTTGCTTTTTTTTTTTTTTTTTTTGGTGCAGAAAGGCTTGTGATATTTTTTAGTCTCATTACTTAATTGGAACATAAAGATGGCATTTTAATTTCTGCTAGGACACGGCAGTGGCTCCCATTCTCTTCCAGTCTCAGTGCAGTAATGCAAGTGATCGGGCTGTAGTTTTCCTTGCACTGCAGAATCCCCACCAGGTGAAATGCCATGCCAGGGAAGTGCACAAGCTCCAGAGACAGCCTGCACCTGTGTGAGCCTCAGAGAGACTCCAGCGGGTCTGGGACCATCCTGTTGCCTGCAATTTCAGCAGTGACTATAGAACAGCGTAAAGGCATAGTCAATAATGTGGGACTCGTAACTGCTGCACCAACATTGGATTTATTTCCAGTGTTGAATCTTTTAAGTTGCAGTGATGTTCTGGGAATGAATGCTGGTGCTGGAACATCTGCTGCCTCTCCACGGAGGAGACACTATGAATGCCTCCTCTAAAAGTCAAACATTACATCAATTCTACAGCTTTCTTCACTTGAAAGACAACACCCAGCTTCCACTTTGTTTCTTTTTCCTAATGATCCAGCTAATACTGCCAAGGGATAGGGACTACTTGGCCTATGTCAGCACTTCTCTAACACTGCAGAAGGCAGAGATTTGCACAACTAACATGTCCAAGTTCCTGTCTGATTTGAGCTACAGCTTTCCTTTCCTGAATGCAGCCACTTTCTTTTTTTACTGATGGCTGAAAATATTAAGTTTCTGTTTGGAGATCTCTTATAAAGCTTTTGTCATGGAAGGGCATTCTTAATTATTTAAAAAATCAGCATGTGCTCACTCTCTTATTCCATGTCCTTGTGGTAAACTATTAACATCTGACAAGGCTGGTTGACACCCTGACAGATTGATTGTGTCTGATCGGTACTTGCTGAATTAAATCAGCTGTTCAGCAAAGCTTCAGTATCTGCTCCTTCTTCTTAAATTGCTAAATAACTCCAGTTCTGCACGTCTTAACTTAGAATTACTATACTGTAGCATGTCTCAGTTGTCTCATACAAGGATTTTGCTGTTCAGCAGTGAGTGATAATGAAATCTCTCATCTGGAACTAAACCCCTCCTTGAATCAGAGTTTCTTTATTTGCAGTCTTCTGAATGGTGTGATCTGCTGGTATGCTTCCAAAAAGATTATGATCTAGTTGGAAGATTTCTCCATTTTTAAGGCTTGTTCAAGTAGTGAGATGAGTCAAGGAGGGAAATGTATCCCTTGGTCATAGACAACAAAGTGTGCCTAGTTCCACTTACACACAAAGCATAAATGGATCTAGAGCATGATCAAATGCAGGCACAGGTGTAATCCACTTGTCCAGGCACCTATGCTGATCCCTGCATAGGACATATTACAGCAATTAAGAAACAAAATGCTTTTAGTTTCCAGCAATACAATTTGTTATTCACTGAGATAAACCTGAAGTAATTGTATGATGGGTGAAAACAGGAAATTTATAAAGAACTGATCAAATGTGCCCAGCATATGTTATCACAAGCATTGCTGATGTGTTTGTGTCTCGGAATTCCAAGTGGACTCTATCAGCAGTATAATCATCTTCTAGACTAGTAAGACTAGTCTTCCCATGATTCTTTAACAGTGTTTTATGACACAGTGGTGTTTGATTGCATGGTTGTACCAACACTTTAATTTTAGTGACTCTTTTAAGAAAAGCTACTAATGTAGAAGGCTTATAAGGTATGTAAAGTACTCTACTGAGCCATACAAATGAATCTGTGGGACTCGAATGTTGCCATCTTAGATAGTCTATGAGTCAGAATAAAATCTGGTACTACCAGATTTATTATTTTGCAAAGTGTCTACCTGGAAATTACTTTAGAAACATAATTATACATACATTTGTTTACCTCTGATCAGCTGAATGGGAAGAGGCAGAAGCCTACATCTCAAGAGTGTAGCTGAGGCAAGTATCCCGGATCATGGCAAAAAAATGAAATGTCTGGTGTGGAGCACACAAAACAGCACTACTTAACGTGGCTCTGTTTGGAAGAGTTGATACAAATCTCACGGTCAAAGGATTTGGTCCTTGATGTCCAAATCTATGTTGTTGTCTGACCACAACTGCTGCTGATGTACCAGGAGGATATAACAAATGGGGCCCATGCTCCTCGCAGGCTCTGCAGGCAGGGCAGGGGCAGTGCCCCTCTCCCCCTCACCCAGCCCCGCCAAGGCTCTCCTGTTGGGACACGCTCAGCCAGTGCATATCTTCTGCACTCCCACTGGCGTTTTGAGCTTCACACTGGCACCTCCCTCCCACTCCAGGATGCTGCACATCAGAGGGAGACGTCAGCCAAATCCATGGGAAGGCGCCAACCAACAATATCCTGCAGCTTTGCTCTGCAGCCTCCTCTGCGC